ACCCACACCCACACCCACACACCCCTGCTGGCATTCATTCAATAAATATTGGATACTAGTTGTGTTGAAGTTTGTAAAGCGCTCTAAAATATCAAAGGGCCTAATTTACAATCGAGGGCCAAGCGAGTCACACGGACGAGCGTTACTTGTTATTAATTAACTATTAATTAATTAATTAACTGCAATATAAGTATAAGTGCTTGTTACCAATATGTAGCCCATTAAATTCTGCATCGAATGGTTTAGAAAACATCTTTCAGATGTTGTGAAATAACGTAAAAACTAGCCAAATACTAAAAGTGTGCTAAACTTTTTCCCTACTTTATGCTACAGTGTTTAGTATTTTGACTATAACATTGTCATTACTCAATGAAAATCAAAAAGGTTTTTTTACCAAAATGATCAGCGAAAAAAGCTCTACAAAATTAGATATAAGAGGAAATGTTTAGAACATCCTTATTATTCGTTCATGTGTAAAAATAAAAAAGTGCTTGCTTTTTTGGGCCCTCACTGTATCTGTAACTCGTTTGTTCTTTTCAACACCATGGTCGAGAATATCATAGTCGCTCTCTGTTTATCCTATATTTTTGTATTTATGGGTGTGGGTGTGTGGGGTGGGGTGTGAGTGTTGGTGTGGGGCTGGGGCTGGGTGTGTGTGGCTAGGTGTAGGTGTGGACGAGTGCAGAAGAAGATAAACACACCTACACCACACTCACACCCTCACAATCATATCAGGTACGACTTTTCAATAGGATTAATCCATTTGAAAAAAGAAGTTGTATGAGCTCTTACTGAAAAAAAGAATATATTTGTGATAGCATCTAATACTTATCCAAAAAATTAGGCTACTAATAATGCGATCTGAGAGTGACCAGTGAATTTGTAAACAGATTTGTCTACATATTGAGGGAAAAACCAAGCTCCATTGACAACTTATTCGAAACTAACGAAAATACTAAATATCCTCGTGTTAGAATAATGAAAAAGCAATGGATGGTCATTTTCGACGCTGTATTTCCTATCATTTGCCAGATAGTTCTCTTCGAGGTTTGTAGAGATATACGTAGCGTTGGTTCGAAATTTTCTATTTCAGAATCATACAGAATCTATATGGCATGTTTTGTAATTAAAACCAATTGATGATCCATTTAGCAGCGATGAAATCTACATATTGGCAGCTCAATCATCCTTACCCCTCACACCCTCCCCATTCGTGTAATTATATTAGTAAGCTGTAAAAGAGAAGAGTCAATGATTCTGAAAATAGGAATACTTCAATAGATGCTTGTTACCATCTGCTACATAATATGAATATTAATTCATTATAATTAAATATCAAACATCACTGAATTGATGTCGTAACAGCTTTCTCGCAAATTCACGCAATTAAATTAGATACTCGAAAGATAATTTACTTCTGAAACCATTACTAAGACGTAAAATGATTCTGACAAATTAAATGGAGTCATTCAATATTCAAAAACACGCTACATTCCTTCACTTGATTAATCGTTTTTACTGTTTAATGTTCTTGTTGGACATAAGCCATGTTCGTGGATAGTTGTTCTAGAAAGACGTCATTCTGTTCAATTGAATTTCGTTTTTATTATTAGAGATATATTAGAAGTAAATAGAAGCAAAGTATGAATGGACAAAGCAATTTTCTTATTCTGAAAATGTAGTATTTCAGTCTAGCCAATCGTGACAACACTCAAATTTACATGAGTCATTCGCTGCATTCTCTTGCAGAGCATTCTTCATTTTCACGATAATCTTTACCAAGTTTCAAGCTGAAAACAAGCGCTGCATGATCACTAACAAGGTCTGTTACGTCAACTAAGGATATATGTCGGTCGTTTACGTCGTTTACGTTCACAACGAAACCAGGACTGCCGAACACCTAAGACATAAACATGATCATTTGCTTCAAAAATCGAAGAAAAGAAAATGCGAATCACACACTTGATCAAGAGCAGCACCGCTACGATGAGTCAGATCAGATGACAATTTTAACCATTCAACATCCACCCCTGTGGCTGATAGTAACATCGCAATATTCCGTCTATCTCTTCTTCTGTCAATTTTCCAGTTAAAGTCTCCAACAATCGCCCATCCAGAGTATCCGTTCAAACAATCATTATAGGCACTAGTTAAATGTATAAATTGCTTAACAACTTCGTCATCCATGTCATCGAAATCAGCTTGGGCTAAAAAGATTATAGTTGAACAGAAACTAGTTAAGACGTTCACTGTTACTTGCCTTGATCCGCAAATGGCCCTGGTCGTCTGTAAGCTACAGTAAATCCATATTTCTTTACTGGCTGTCCATTAGAACAATATGCACATTGAAATTTATAATCAAGATCAAAGTTTACAGCATTATCCGCATAGTCTTCAGCTGGTTGTCTATTGAAATCTACATTGAAATCATGGGACTTTTTCCAGAGTACTAAGATACCACCACCACCTCGGTCTTCTAGACCAGTCGTTGTATGACCATAAGCATTACCTGGATGATGACCATATCCTCGATCTTGTCGAAAAATTCTATATTCAGCTAAGTTCAAGTAGGAAAGTATCTGTTCATTATCATCGTCAGTGTTCAGCCATGATTCAACAATAGCAATGATGTGAGGTTGATGCATCAATATAAGATTTCTTAACCGTTGGATTTTATTAGGTATCGCTCGACGTGTTTTATTCGGCTTCACACTATGCATATTAACATATAAAACCTTTATGGTAACACTTCGACAGATACAATCTTCATCGTCACTTTCGTCTGGATTTGAATCGTGTTGTTCTCTAATTTTTTGTTTCTTCTTTTGTTGTTGATCACTACGAAACTTAACTAAAATGCTTCTTAAGTTTGTATTCTGTAGTCACATTCGAAACAAGAACGAACTATTTACCCGAATTATAAATGTTTTGGTCCTCTTGAGCTCTCAATCCTTGACTGACTGTGGCTGAAATTTGATTTAATGAACTTGGAGTTTGTCCAGGCGCATTTTGTTTCACTGCACTTAAAGTTTGTAATGGCGTTTGCTGATTCAATGAATTTTGAGCTTTTACAGCTGTTTGTTGTTTCAAAGTGTCTGCTGAAGTCATATGTTCACCTAGGCAGAGATGACGAATTAACATAAATCTATCTTACACAAATTCACTATCATTCTCATTTACGCACCTCTAACATCAGATGCTATCCTCATCATATCTCTTCCTTGATTCACTTCTTTCAAATATTGTCCATCAGGCATATTTGGATTAGCTGCCAGATTATCTTCTGCAGCATTATACAACTGCCATGCTTTTGTTTCACATGCAGCAGCAGCTATATAATAAACGAAACCATTGGGATCAATTACATAGTTGTAATTTGATGTGTGGATATAAATATGTTTTTTAGCCCAATACAGAATGTCATACTCATACATATCATCAACACCCATACTTACCCTTCTCGATCAATGGATTTAGATTGTTTTCGGTGAAGGCTCTATTGATTGTACGAATAGTTTTTTCACCACCATGCATTTCACCTAATGAGTTCAAGTAGTCTATGATTAGTTTTCAAGGATACTGGAACATTAAATCCTGACCTGTTCTTGCATTTCCTGACGCCATGGCTTCAGCACGATTCTGTTCAATCAATTGATTGAAAGCTTTCTGCTGATCTGCATTTAAAAACGGACGCATTTGATCGTAACGTTGTTGTTGTACCTATAACTAATCATGTCGTTTACGAAGACGATGGAAATAGATGCACGTACACTTTTAATAATTTGACTTGCAGTTTTGACATTTACCACTTGATTAGTTAGAAACAAGATGCTTGCACTTAATTGAAAGATTTCCAGCGGACTTATTTCTTCGCCCTAAAATAATATCCATATTTTTTCTTTCATTTTGATTTATAACGAACAGAAAAAAAATTAAGACCTTAACTGCCTTGTCAATCAAGTTACCAAAACCGGCTATTATGCTTACGCTATTGACTCCTACACTGCCAAAAATAGCAGTTGTTGCTGCAATACGTGCAAATTGACCAACATGTGTTCCACGTGCTGCCATTGATGACACAACCTAAAATTAAAAAAATATTGAATCCAACTAGTCTGCTTACGGGTCTACTGAATGATTGGAAGTGTTTAAAAACACTTGTGTCTACATTCGAGTACTCCTAGTTAAGAAAAGCTCATCAAGTACTAATTAGGAATGATGTTTTAGCTTCACTGTAAGAGGTAAAGTTAAAATTAAACCTTCTTTAAAGTTTTAAATATTTTTGTCCGATTCGGTCCTTTCACTTTCCATTTAAGAACTACAATCCTCAGAAGTTATCTGTTCTGACCGCTAAACGATAGTCAAAACTCATGGGTGTGAAAAGGTTGTTTTCTACTATGAATTCTTCAATGTTAGTTTAGTAATTATTATTACACAGTGACTGTGAAACTTAAAAGGGATCAAACGTCAAAAATTGAAATTTATTTTTCACTTTAACTTTGAGACAATCAAAGTTAAAGTGTCAAAGTATCATATTTTGACCATAATCGCTTTATCAAAATATTTTCAAACAATCATACTTGTTTACCACTCGGCAACATCATATACTTGTGGATAATGGATAGCGATCAGTTACTACCTATTACCTTGAATTTACTAGCAACATTAGAAGAAATACTAGTTTCTTTCAATACTACATGATTTATGACTCAATCATCAGTAAATCTTTAAGAGTACATGTACCCAAGATCAAGAGAATCATAAAACCTACACTTGTTGCCGTTGTCGCACCAAGAGAAACAATGGCACCAACAAGACCAAGCCAACAGAAAAATGAATCTTTATCAGTAAAAGGATTGATCGATTGACCATGTGTAGTACGATCAACAAGTGCATATGTACTGCGTTTAGCACCGTAGGTTCCCGCTCCGACAGCTAAAAAAGTTGTCGAAATACGCTATCGATAAAAAGTTATTCTACAGAAAAATAACACTTGAAAACTGACTTGTAGCTATTAGTGTTGCAGCAGCAACAGGAGCGAGTGGCGTGAATAAACCGACAATGCCAAGTACAGTACCAACGACACCGATAGCGGTCGCACCTATGTCCGTACCCTTTAATATAGATAACCCGCATAAGTATATGTAGCATAATTGATTTAGATTACTTTAACAAATTGTCGTGATGCATCACATTCGGCCGACTTGCCAAAGCACAAGTTACAAACACCGTTCTCATCAAAGGTGTACCATCCGTCTGAAGAAGAAATTGATATCTGAAATAGTATAAAGATGATTTCTAACTTACCTTTCGGATAGCATATATCGCACTCTGGTAACTGATTGTTGTTGATGAAGTCTGGCCATCCATCATAAGTTCGTCCGTTTGGCTCAACAAAATATGCATGATCTACATTGTTTTTGTTATATTTCAAAACGCGAATCAAGGGTAACTACAAATTTTGATATCCACTTCACTATATACAAAGTAAAGCTAGACAAGAGAAGTCACTTACCATATTTTCATTTTTAATGGTCCAAAAGCTCACAAAAATAAAGTTAATCAAAATCATGTTTGATTGTTGGTGGCTATCACTTAAATCTAAAGCCTTCTTTCGTAGTTCTTTGATTTTTTCTTCCTTTTCACTCTCATAGCCAAATATACATGAACTAGATGTTGACGGGTCGATTGTCGGAGCGTTATACAACGCAAATCCAATTTTGCGACCGAGATTCGTCCATTCTTCCTGCCACGGTAAGGTTATTTTGTGACAAAGTAACTTTCTCCAATCAGAAGCGAAACACTTACTTGTACATTGGAGTCGTGCTTATCCCACTGACGAGAACCTAAATCACGTCCCAATTGGTTTTGTATCTTGATCGATATCGCTTTCCAAGTTCGAAAATCATTTGGGCTACGGCCTAAACGACAAGATTCAAACTCAATATATGTTGCGAATTCATACGCTAAAAAACAGACTCGTTGGTTCTGTGATAGTCATTGCGTGAGACGACGAATGTTTTGCACCAGATGAATCATGATCATAACATTGATAATTTTTTGCAAGATAACAACATTCGCAAAGATCATGATTCTTGCATACGTTACATTTGTAACGTTTTCCCACAATATGTTGTGTCCGACATCCATTACAATAAATTCCTTTATGACAAGGAATGGCTTCTGAAAATGCGAATATACTGTACGTTAGTAAACGCACATCTTTCAAGCTACAACAGCAACTCACGTCGATCAAGCTCTGTTAGGATTCGTTGCATTCGATGAGACACCCGATGGTTTCCTTTATTTTCTCCAAATTTGTTCATTGCATAACAATTCTCGCAAAGATCAAAGAACCGACATTGTAAACATCGATATCGATAACCAGTATAGTGTTTACTGTCACATCCATCGCACTGTACTGTTTGATAAGATCTATAACCTGAAATCATCTTTTTGTAATCAGTTATGCAATACTAGGTCAAATACAAACCAATATCTCCATCCGCATATCGCAAAGCAACGGAGTGATAGGTTGAATGCTCTGATGTGTTACCATGTTTCTTCGATGCGAAGCATTCATAACAAAGATTGACACCATCGCATTCCAAACATACATATCGAAAATCTTTAATAGGATTGCAACCACAGCCGACACACGAATATCCCGTATGTGGTGCCATTCTGGGAACTCGATCTGTAAATATAAAAAAGAACAGAAGCCTTACACTAACCAGATCATATCTTGATAAATGAGGATTTTATTACTGTGTATAACTTACGATATATTTTCTAATGTGAGAAGAAGCTAATCATTTGGAAACACTTCAGGGCAGGATGTGTAAACACGTTTTACTTTTCCTTATTAAAATATATCCAAAGGATTATGAAGACAAAAATCAAGTTGTTTCCTCAAATAAATGTTTCTTTTGGTAACCTTACTAGAATTAGCCTTGACATACATGTGGATCGATGTAACTCTCGAGCATTATGATTTTATATCAAAGAGTACAAGTTGTCCTCATTTCTTTAAACCTTGCTCGTTGTACATATATATGTGTGAGAAGAAATTGGAAAAAAAGAGAGAGAGTATGAGTAAATAACATGTCTATCAAGTATTTGATCATTATCACCAATGTTCTTTGAATCAAGGTGAAAGTCACCATGCCTACTAGTTAACACTACAGTCGTGGGTGGGTGTGGGTGTGGGTGTAGCTATAGGTTATTTTTCTTCTTCAATCAGCCACATCGACACACCCACACCCACACCACACCCACACCCACACCCATCATATAATAGAGAAACTAAAGAAAATAAGCAAAATCAAGAATAAATATTATCATCTACGTCAAGGAGACATTTTAAGTGAAGAAACAAGAGTACTTCTAAGACTCATGTCAAGAGAAATAAAAAATGCGATAGGAAAGTATAAAGCGGCTTAATGGTAAGATTTTTTAGTAACAATTCAACAGACACAAGATAACAAGGATAAAATGTTTTGGACCTATATGTCGAGAATTTATAAATCACGCGCATTACCATTTTATAGATTATTGAAGGGTAATAAAGTACTATCTAAACATGACGAAATCATGGAAGAATTATACAAAAATTATAGCGAATAGTTTAAGACACCCTCGATCGATTATTCAGATGCAAATGAAGTGAAAATTAACAGTGAATGCAATGAAATATCGAGGATATTATCAATTTCCAGGGAACAAATAGAGAAAACAAGGGTGCACGAGATTAGACGATTCATGCGCTCCCTTCCAAAAAAGTCAGCAGGTTTCGATCAAGTTTCGAACTATATGATCAAAAGACTTCCTCCGAGCTATATCGAATGCCTCGTTAACTGTTTTAACCAGTGTTTGAGCGAATGCAAATATCCAGAGGTGTGGAAATTAGCAAAAATAGTAACTATAAATAAATTAAAAACAGGTATTCCAAAATACGATGAAACAAGACCAATTTCCTTACTAGCAGCACACTCAAAACTTTTCGAAAAACTAATACTTAATAGAGTTAGATACTGGGCGGAGACAAATCATATAGTGCCAGCAGAACAATCGGAATTTCTTCCTCAACGTTTGCTACCCACAAGAGTTTTGTCAATTTATCAAGAAGTAAAAAACTGTATGGTAAGGAACATACCGACTTTAGCCATTTATGTGGATTATCAGAAGGCGTATGATCGTGTATGGCACGCAGATCTTTTGACTAAGCTATGGAAATTAGGTCTACCAACGAGCATGTTGAAAATGATAATATCATGGTTAAAAGATAGAAGAGGATTCGTAATATTCGGAGACAGGTCTTCAGAAACCTTTAATATAAACATTGGCCTACCTCAAGGCAGTAGTTTGAGTCCCTACCTATTTATCGTGTTTCATTGTGATTTAGTTCAATGTTAAGGAGCACATTCAGATCAACTTTTCGCCGATGATCTGCGTGTTATTATAAGATCCCTGATCTTAATAAAATTAGAGCCTATGATTAAATATCTAGAACAAGAAGGTACTCGAGTGTGTGAAAGAATATTTCCATACTCAAAAAAATGGAAGCAACCTATAAACGTGTCAAAAACAGTGGCGCAGTTACTCTATACACAAATAAAAAAGCCAAGAGTAAACATAGAAATGAATGGACAAAAAATCGAATTAGTAAACGAATTGAAGTACTTTGGATTCACTTGAACAAGTAAACCATCTTTGAAACCAACAATTGATAGATGTGTAGAAAACATTCAGAAATCCTTGGAAAAACTAAGGTGGTTGAGTGCAAAACGTTTTATGTCTACTAAGCCACTTAGACAATGTTTTTTCGCATGTACGTTTCCGCATTTCGCATGGATATTTCCCTTCTTTCCTTTGATGTCCATGTCACATCAACAATTATTACAACAGAATCTCCGTGTTGGTCTCCGACTGGTGCATCACTGCCATTTTGTCTCAGCGCATAATCTATACACTATGACTTAGGAAGATTCTTTAGAACTATACGTTAAAAACTACATTCAAAGGAGATTAAAAAGTATTCACACAACGGACCTTGACCGTTCATTCTTTTATCACGATAATTTTATTTGGAATGATTTTCATAAAAGAAAGAAGGATCACCTTGGCAAGTTTTTTCATAGTAATCGAGTAAACAAATTAATAGACAAGCATGAATCGCCTCTCTTAAAATGGATATCATTTATTGAAATAAACTAATGGTAACAAAGAAAAGCACATGTACATAGGGCAGTCAAAAAGTAATGGCAATGGTACTTTAGTTTCTTATAAGAAGCTTTAAAAACCTTTCTTTCTATATAGTCTGATAGAGAAAAGAATGCTCTATTTTTCTATGCTATTTGATTATACTTCAACTAATCTAATGATAATAAATTTTCAGTAAGACTTTTCGTTACCATGTCTGCTGGATGACAACGGAAGAGACAGATTAGTTGCAGTCTCTTAATAGATTGTATTAACAATCAAAATATACCATAAGATGTAGTGTGAAAAGCTCTACGTTTTATATAAGACCAATTATTTTCTAGTTACACAGTTTTGTTTTCAAAATACACAAAGGTTTGAGGGACCGAACTTTGGGCATTGCGAAAACTGGTATCACAGAATTTTCCTTTTTATGAAGACAGTTACAATGAGCTTTACTGTGAAGATTGTAGAGCTTTTCACGCTGCATCTTGTGATGCATTTTGTTTTTCTTTTGATAACGTATGTCAGATGATAAAAAGATGAGATAAAAAAATTAATTCGCCATATATCAAAAGTATTATCTATTTTTCATAGTCAAAATCTGATCTCCCAAAACCTTGTCAATTTTGAAAACAAAAAGTGCAACTAGAAAATAATTGGTCTTATATAAAATGTACACTCTAAAAAAAAATCGGTTTTTTACCGAACCCCTGAAAAAGGTCCCGGAGATTTCTAAAAGCATCCAAAGGTGTCCAAAGTCTCGGAAAGAGGATAAAAAAGTCTACAAAACCTTTTTAGGTTCTTACCGTGTACTCAGGATAAGAACGTTTTCCTGCGAAACCTTTTTTTAAGTTCCGTACAGCAGAAAAAGGTTTCGTAAGAAAATACGAAACCTTTAGAGTATCGTATTAAACTCGAGAAAATCATGAGGGTTTAGTATGAAACTATTAGGGTTTAGTACGAAACTATTAGGGTTTAATACGAAACTCTGAAGGTTTCGTATTTTCCTACGAAACCTTTTTCTGCTGTACGGAACTTATAAAAAGGTTTCGCAGGAAAAGGTTCTTATCCTGGGTACACGGTAAGAACCTATAAAGGTGTCGTAGATTTTTTTATCCTCTTTTCGAGACTTTGGACGCTTTTAGAAATCTCCGGAACCTTTTTCAGGGGTTCGGTAAAAAACCGATTTTTTTTTAGAGTGTAGAGCTTTTCACGCTACATCTTATGGTATATTTTGATTGTTGATACGATGTATTAAGGAACTGAAAACTGCAATGCAAACTTACATCCAGTAGCTATGGTAACGAAACAAGTCCTACCGAAAATTTATTATCATTAGATTAGTTGAAGTATAATCAAATAGCATAGAAAAATAGAGCATTCTTTTCTCTGTCAGACTATATAGAAAGAAAGGTTTTTAAAGCTTCTTATAAGAAACTAAAGTACCATTGCCATTACTTTTTGCTTGCCCTATGTAATATATTTATATCTTTCTCTCTTTCTTTTTTTTTCTAATCTCGAACTGCATACGTATATCCTCCTTCGCTGTTGTTCTCTCTTCTCTCCTCGCTCTCCTTTTGCTTCACGTCTTTTTCGGTGGGTTCTCCCTCGTATTTCTTTTTCGTTTTTCTCTTTTCTTTTTTTCCTTTCTCTTCTTCGTTCTTTTGCTGTCTCTGTATTTACCTTATTAACCCCTATATCAGCTGAATTAATTCTCAATACAAAGATATAGTCGGTGATGATAAAACTGATTGTATTTATGTTGTGACTCAGTACTTAAATACCTAATTTTTCCATATATCATCATGTAAGCACTTCCGAGTGTTACATCTAAAGCATAATAAAAAAAAGAAAATATAATTTTTTTCCCACTCATAAAAAGCGCAAGCGAATACTAGGAAAGAACCGACAGCTCGTAAAGAAATTTGATTGGGAAAAAGCCGACATAAAAAGAGTATAAAAAAGGGCTTTTATAGATTGGTGACTCTTCTGAGCAAATCGACATCACCGTACAAAGACATATTGATTTTTCGGCAGGTAAGTAGCTAGACGTGTGTGTTGTCCTTTATGAGCTTGGTTTTAAGTGTAGAAATTTACAAAGATGCTGCAAAAAGGGTACTTTGTTAACAACCGGATTCGCACTTGTCAAGCAATAAAGGGAGAAAAACGATTTCTTTTCTTGTCACTGAGACAAGATTATACATCGTCGATCGCTCGAATTTAAAGTATCAATAATACATTCCTATAGTGCACATAAGTACTGATTCATGAAACAGAAAGGTGTCTCGAAATCACTAAGAGGAAGACGGGTTGCTTCGAAATAGTCTTGTGTCCAAACTATAGAGATTT